CGCGCTCAGGTTTTACTTCGCTATTCCTAATCGGGCACTCAACGCCACGCTTACCTCCGAGTGGCGGCACTTTGTCTTCAATGTCATGCACACTGCTCGTCGAAACTTCATTCCACTTGGCGCAGTCGAGCATTGGGGCTTACTATTATACCCTGAAGGACTCAAACACGCGTGTGTGACTTTTGCCATTGCAGGGAATTAACGGCTTATTTTACAGCTAACCTCAGTATTCAGCCGGCCTGTGCCAATCGGCGCCCACTGGCAAGCCTTTCCACCGACCTAGCCTGAACAGATCCGGAATTCCTCTAGGTTACAAGGCAGCTATCGTATTGGGGCGGAATCAGCCTGTCCTGGTGCATATTCATACTGAATCGCACTCAACGTGTGCGGGGCCAGGTCGATTAGTCACTGCCGGATCAAAGCTGCGACGTCGCTTTGTGAACTGGTCAAGCGAGGCCAGTTCCCGAATAGTATGGCTGCTATGCCCCATATATAGGTCACAACACTTGCAACATAACACCCGTCCACACTCCCACTCAAGGTTGACCGCGACACTCAACTCGCGCGTTTGCAGAGTACCGATGTCGCCACTGTTCACCCTCTTAGCTTCTGCAGTCGGTTCCTTGTTGGCTGCCTGGACACTAGTTTCACGCGAACATGTCGGGCTGCCAGTGCTATGGACGACGTTGAGCGGCGTCTCTGCTACTGAGGCAAACTGGACAGGCAACATACAGCTACCTGCGTCATGTCGAACACTTGGGTCAGTCAGGATTTTAGTTGTCGCATCCACTGTCACTCGTTGCTCATGCACATGTCCGGACAGAACGTTGACATATTGCAAGTCTGTGGCCGGATCACTGTCGCAGCCGCAGCGAGCCAGAGAAGCAGCCACAATGCAGACCACAGTAGTCACGGTGCCACACTGCTTGGCCATGCATTCTTCTGACCCAATCCTGCAACCCTCTGCGACCGTCACACTCGATTCCGGCATCTCCTGGCAGTCCTGCCTGGGCGTTCTGTCTGCCACGGAGTGTACACTTGTGTTGCTGTGCTGGCTCATCCGCAGCCGCTGGCTTGTTCGGGAAGCAAACTCGACCATCTGCATCCCTGTCGTGCACCGCCCACGTCTTGAGCCCGAACCTGACCTGGATCCACGATACCAGTTCTTCTTCGGCGTCCCGCCCCGGCTACAAATCAGCAAGGCACCTCAAATTGTCATAGCCCACCTGCAGGTTCGTAAAGTACGGTTGTATGACGTCGACTTGTGCGTCGGGATTGCCTTCCAGGACCCTCGTGGACCGGATTCCAAAATCCAGTTCTATTTCAAGGCCAAGGGCTCGGTCAAGCCGGACTCGGAGGTCCATACAATTGACGAAGTGGCACGACGTATCGATGAACCGGTTGATCAGAGGAAGACGCAATGGTACGTGGACGCCACGATATACCACCGGTTTGCACCTTGGGGTACATACTGATGTGATATCGTAGTGCCTGTTCATCTCGACCCGCAGTGAGGACGAGCTCGAGGACGACTTCTCGCTGGACGTCCTGACGAGCTTCCCGCTTGAAGCGTAAATGCACAATCGAATTGATCTACTACATAGGTGGCTTTGTCCGGTCTGGTATACCTATGTCCCTTGAATCGCCCTTGAAACGACTATGCCCTCGAAACGACTATGCCCTTTGAAACGACTATTGTAGTCCGCGTCCTCCATGCTGTAGCACTTATCTGTCACTCAATTCAGCCCAATTCCCTTAGGCGGGACCACCTGATGTACCCACAATCCAATGAATATGAATGTTATGGCCTCTTCGTAGATATCCAGGCAGACGCAAGACAATAATTACAAGAATAGGTATCCTTCCGATATAAGAAATGCTCGTGAAACGTGTGCGGAACACAGACCTACATCGGCTCCGCCTTCCTCCGCCGGAGCTCCCGCTCGACCTCGTCGCCATCCGCGCGTTGCGCACGCACGGGTTGTGTAATTGTTGGCTGTGAGAAGTGTTCGCGGAGGCGTCTGTCGGCCTGGCGATGAATCTGCGGAACGATCAACACATATTCAAAGGTATGTATCATAACGGGATGCGCACCTCATTCCCGACGGTCCTACCCACTTGCAACATCGGGCCCACCAAACCAAGCTGGAGGCTTATGTACCTGCACCATATGGTCAGCCCGGGACTGGGTACAAGTATCACCAGTAACACTTACGCGAACGCAATCAACAGCGCCAGCATCGCGAAGTAGAACGGATTGAACAGCACGACCATCGCCTCGTTCCACCCGAGCACGACGAGCACACCGTACATCCAGTACGGGATCTGCGCGACGCTCGAGACCGTGCTCCGCTTCGCCTCGACGTAGTACGCGTCCGCGTCGCGCCGAAAGCGCGCCATGACGTCTAGGATCTTCGTCTCCGTAAAGATCACGAGCGTCGCAGGGAAGTCGAAGTCGTCTGCTGCTTCCGAGAGCGAGTCGGATGTCTCCGAGGGCAGTGTAAACTCAAGCGAGGGGTCGACGGGGTGGATCTTTGCGTAAAGAGGGACGAGCTCGAGTGTCTGCGGAGGAGAGTGAGCTGTGAGAGGTCGTACACATGGGGTACGATGAGACATACCTGGTCTCTCGCCTTCTTGAAGGCACCGTCGATATCATCTCCGGGTCTCCAGACGCGCGGGATGTTGTTCTCGTCGTACCGGAAGCGCTCCTCGAAGTACGTGCGGAGCTTGGTGAGGAACGCCGCGTCGGTCGTCTGCTCCTCGATCTTGGCTCGGAACGCCAGCCAGGCACGCTTCCGTAGAGACGCGAGCGCACTCTCGTTCTCCTCGTCCGTGCAGTCGAAGCCTATACAGAGCAACATGAGACATCACTCCAGAAGGTGCGAAAACGACTAACTCTTCGCTTTCACGAGGTATGATGACTCTGCCTTCGCGAGGTTCTCACGGAACGCCTTGAGGATCTTGTCCCACATGTCATGTTCAGGTCTGTTGAGAGCCAGCTCAACAGGTTCCGAGATCTGCTTCTTGAAGTTCCGCTGCAGTCAAAGAAGCGGGATGATCAGCGGCTACGGAGCACCAGATCACGCGCAACCCACCTCGATCGTGTTCACCATCTTCTTCGTCTCATCCTTCCTGCACTGGTTCGCCACGCTCCTGATCTCCTGCTGCAACAGCTCGTACTCCTCGTCATATGACCAATCCGTACCCTCCACAAGCGCCTCCGTCGCACCTTCGACGAAGCGCTTCGCACAGCGAGCCCGCGCTGCGGTGACAATGTCGGCAAAGTTGTAGCCTTCGCCGCGCATACCTTTGTGCATTTCGTCTTTGAACGCGACGAGACATGCCTTGTGCAGATTCTTGAGCTGCCCGAGGAAGAGCGGCGAGAGCGTCGAGTCGAGCACGCCAACGAGGTCCACGCGCTTGCGCCTGTAGACGCCTTGGTGATATCGCGAGGCATCGCGGTCGTAGCGGGCTACACAAGTACACGTTAGTAGTCTGTCATCGTATGCACAACCAGGGCGTACTCAAGGCTGCGGTACGCCAATTCCGCATCATGCCACCGAGGCCCTCCACGACCTTGCCCGATTCGATCGGTTTCCGTTGAGGCTTCGCTTGTTCGTTGAACTCGACAAGCGCCGCACTGGAGATCTCGTCGCAACGGAACTGCGCCAACAGCTCCTGCTGTGTAGGCAGGTCCAGATCTTTGTTGCTCTGGACTTGTTCCTGCGAAAGCATACGTGTCAACGGCCACCGCTTCACTGCAACGGAACCGATAGCATACCCAGATGCCTTCCATGTAGAACGCCACACCATCAGCCGGGATGCGCTTGTGGTAAGCAGGCTTGAACACGTAGTCCTCTCTCGACTTGTCCACGAACCGCTTCCTGAGCTCTGCCACCTCGCTCTCAAACCTCTGCGCCTCGAGCACCTTGTGTGGGAGTGCGGCGAAAGAGAGGTCAAAGTAGTCGGAGAGCTGACGGTCTTGCAGCTCTGGTGGTTTGGACAGCGACTCCCAGATCTTCTGCATGTCGGCGCTGAGCGTGGCTTGCAAGTTCGCGAGCGGCGTCGTGCCGATATGGTCTCGAATGACGAATAACAAGAGTGTTCGCTGGTTGCGACTAAAGCTCGCCTCCTGTAAATTCGGCGTCTCTTTGGTAGTATATATGCACGCACCCATCCGCCGACTTCTTGCCGAATAACCCGAGGTTCACCTCAAATACAGTCTTGAGCAGTCCCATATTGGCACCCTGGTACAGACCGACTTGATGTTCCCACAGATTGACGAGGAGCACCTCGGATGAGGCAAGCGAAAAGAGAGCAGATTTCCTCTCGAAGTCCTGAGGGAAAGTCAGAGCAGCTCAGTTGGTGTAGGACGACTGCGCGCACCTGGTCCTCTCCTCGCTCTCGCCCATCTGTACCCTCCACGTCCATGACCATGGCGTTCATACCCTTGCCTCTACAGATCCATATACCTATTACGGATCAGTACTCTGACATTGGAGGACTCTGAGAGATCGTCGCGCACCTTTCGTAGTCTGCTGCCGTCTTGTCTCGTCCATGACGTCAAAGTTAGTGCCGAATAGGCGGTTTAGCAGTGTACCTGTGAGCGTTATCAACGAAGAAGCAGTGATAGCGGCAATGCTCATGCGCACTTTTGCCAGTAGACTGTGATCCAAATACTGCGACAATATCGTAGTCGAAACCGGCATTCTGCAGGCCCCACCGCTCTACCTGGTGGGTCAACTCTGGCCTGTCGGGAGCTCAGCACACACTGGCTTGTGCACGCAAGCGTAAATTTACGCACGTAAATTGTTTCTCGTCGTTGATGATTTGTATACGTTCATTGTTAGGCTTCGCGTCTCCATTGACGTGGTTGCCGTTCATGGCGGTCGGCGTGGAAGATAATCAAGGTGCCGCAATGTTGGGCGGTTTTATATACGTCTGGCCAGACAAAGGCGTGTGCGAGGCGGTGAAAGGAACGTGCTGGGAGCGTTGAGTATGTGCTGGTTGTGGACGACAGTGACGATGCGGTACGCCTCACAAGAGGCCCTGCCTTTCTCGGCGACGCCCATTGCGTGCCTTCGGCCATTGCCGATACGCCTCTGCTGCAATGTCCAGCTGACGGCCATCCCGGGCGTCCGACTCCCGCCATTGGCACGGCTTTGTCGAAATGTTATGTCCGCCTTCTCTTCTTTGTGCGACATTGCCTGCTCGCCTCGCTCGTCGGGAGACTGTACAAGTCAAAGGGTCGCGCATATACGCTGAGATCAAACGCAGCACAAAGTCATCATGGACGGGCACTTCTCGCAGTCTAAACTGATATGGAGCCCCTCTAGACCATCGTATACCTCGCTGGAGGTGTTCAGGCGTATGGTCAATCGCAAGCACGGGTTGGCCTTGAGTACGTAGTTCTCGCGCCACGAACTGTACCACCTCTCATATACTGCGACCAGAGGACTATCATGATTTGCACAGGTATTCAGTCGAGAGCTACGACTTTTGGATGGATGTCTGGGAGTATATTGGTATCATCTCTTCCGTCCCTCCGAGCAAGGTACGTTCGCGATCGTCAAGTGTTCCGCTCCGTCTAAGTGCCCCACTAGATACTCGAGGAGGGACGAATGAAGGAGCTACCGACTTGGTTCCCGGGTGCCAGACTAAACTACGCAGAGAACCTGCTACATCGCCGTGATGACGGTGTCGCATGCATTGCCGCGAGAGATTTTGGGACTGTTCAGCACTATACGTACCGTGAGCTGCGAGAAATGGTCAGAAGATTAGCTGCCGCGATGAGAGCGAATGGCATCGTGAAGGGCGACAGAGTTGCTGGTAAGAGATGTTGTTCCATGTTCCACATGTGCCAACATCATTGACACTCGCTAGCTATCGTCACCAATAGCATAGACGCAGTCGTCATTGCGTTGGCATCTGCCTCCCTGGGTGCTATATTCTCTAGCACAGCTCCTGACATGGGCACTCACGTACGGTGTTTTCCAACCTTGCCCCACATTCGATACGAACCTTATACCCATAACTTCTCAGGGCATACTTGACCGTTATAGACAGATACAACCCAAGATTATCTTCTCCGAGTCAGAAGTCGTCTATGCCGGTAAAGCCTTCGACATGGTGCCCAAAGTCTCGGAGGTCGCGAACGCTCTTGCGACGCATGGTCTGCAGAGTGTAATTTTGCTGCCCAGTGTTGCCGACGGCAAAGAATTTTCGACTTTGCAATTGGTCAAGATCCCGAAGAGGTGAGCACTTCGACCATAACTCGACGTGAGACAGGATTGGCAAGCTCACAGGGACTCAGCGTCACCATGTCCGCCTTTCTTGCCACCGGCGAAAATGGTCCTTTGGTGTTTGAGCAGCTGCCGTTCAACCACCCGTTGTACATTCTGTACTCATCCGGCACAACGGGACCACCAAAGTGCATTGTCCATACTGCAGGAGTAAGCTACTCACCAAATCTACCGTCTCCTATCTGTCTGATGTAACATACACCAGGGTGTTCTTCTCCAGGCCAAGAAAGACCTCCGCATCTCCATAGGCTTAACCTCAGACGACACGTACTTCCAATTCACGACGGTAAACTTATCATTAAACCTATTTTCTGACGCAGCCTTACTCTAAAGCACAGACAGGCTGGATGATGTGGCCGTACATGCTACAGGGCCTCGCGTGCGGCAGTCGCATCGTCCTGTACGACGGCTCGCCCTTCCACCCTGACGTGCGAGACTTCCTCCGCTTCCTCAGTCGTGAAGGGTGAGTCCCGTTTGTGCAACAGCTCACCATTCTTCTCAATTAGTCTCCAGTGTCTCCGTTTGGGGACGAGTCCGCGCTTCTTGAGCGAGGTGCAAGGGAAGGGAATAGAGCCTTGTATGTCTCCCGCGTCACAATGAACATTGCATCGCGCTGATATCCAGTCAAGCCAAAGTGGCATCGTTCGCTGCGCTTCGGACCATCTCCTCGACGGGATCGGTGCTGACGCCTCCGATGTTCGAGTGGACTCAACAGGCGTTCAACCCAGATATTCACCTTCTGTCTGTGTCTGGCGGGACGGACATCTGTGGTGCATGTAAGTGGTCAAATCGTACGCATCAATTTGACACACTAAGCTCGCGGACTCACAGTCGTCGGTGGAGTTGCCGCTCTGCCTGTCTATGCGGGAGGTAGGCCATCATATATTTGTGGGTACTGAGCGCAGCATTGGACCGACCTAAACATTGCAGAGATCCAAGGCAAGCTCTTGGGCATGAAGGTTGAGATATTCGATGCCGACGGCAAGAACATCGAGAATACGGGTGTTCCTGGCGAGCTCGTCTGCACTAGACCGCACCCGTCGCAGCCGCTCGGCTTCTGGGGCGATGACTCTGGAGAGAAAGTCCAGAAGGCGTACTTTTCTACTTATGCTGGTATGGGCAAGAGTGGTTACCTTCGAAAGGGTTGGCGCTGAACATCGGGTAGGCGTATGGCACCAGGGTGACTTCATCGTCAAAAACCCGAAGACCGATGGGTTGATGATACTTGGCCGGAGGTAACTATACTACATCCTCTCGCTGGTCCATTTTCGACCCCGTGTTGATGGCATGTTAATTCCCTGACAGTGACGGTGTCCTGAACCCCAGCGGCGTCCGCTTTGGCTCAGCGGAGATCTACTCCGTGCTCGAAGATTTCTCCGACGCTGTCGACGACTCGCTGTGTGTCGGGCAGCGGCGGCCGCAAGACAAGGATGAGCGCGTTCTCTTGTTCCTCAAGATGCGTCCGGACCATCCGCTCGACGAGGCTCTTGCAAACCGCATACGCGCAGCGATTCGGGCGGCACTCAGCCCGCGGCACGTGCCTGCGCACATATTCGAGGTTGACGAGATCCCTGTACGTCGTCGTGGTTTCTTGTCGACTCCTTGTTACAGATTCTTGACGCCTATCTGCGCAGTACACGGTGAACGGGAAGAAGATAGAGATTGCCGTGAAGCAGATCGTGTCCGGGTCCACTCTCAAACCAAGCGGGACCGTCGCGAACCCCGAATCTCTCAAACTTTACTACAAATTCCGGGACCTCGAGGATCTGCTGAGCAGCAAGGTCGTCAAGGCAAGGCTGTAGGGCTCGCAGAGACGCCTTACGTAGTTGCACTACGCCGCTTGTAGAATAGATGTGAGGTCACAACGAGCCATTTCAGCAATCACTGTTCCTAGTACTGTACTTGTCACCCCCAACCGACTGTACATTCAACCCTGACTCCACTAGGACCGCTCAGAGTTGGCGGATCTGAGCTCCAGGTTCGGAGCTCAGATCCGCCAACACAGCCTAAGGCGGTACTACAGAATCTTCATCCTCGGGGCTTACAGATCAGTGCTTGGGTAGCACGACTGCGGCCTCGAGTCATTGGGAAATGTGGCAGATGCAAGCATCGCATTCAAGCCATCGAAAGTTCCAGCTGTCTTGAAGCCGTCCGAGGTTCGTGTTCCCATCCGTCGACGTTCCGAACCGTGTTCTTAGGCCCGGATCCTGCACTGAGCTGCACAGTATCCGTTGCGTTGCAGTTGTGAATCAAGGGGATATCATACTCAAAGTAAGTGACAGTTTGCTGACCTGAACCACGCGGTGAGCCTAAAAATGATCACTACTTTCAAGTGTATTGCACTCATCGACGGTAGGATTATGACTGCCATGATCAAGCCATGAACGTTTGAACGCTCAAGGCGCCGAGAAGTTACTAGTAAGCCTCTGGGGTACCCTACATACTACCGGGTTGACACACACTGGTGGTCACGGTCATCATATGATGCTCAACTGTCGAGTGAGCGCACCCTTGCTCACTCGGCGTTCGATCCGTTGACTTATAAAAGGTCTCCGAGCTCTGGTTGCAAGTCCCGACTTTGCGCCGCTGGAACAGTATCATGATAACAGGACAGATGAACCTTCTGTGAGTACATGTGGCTTCGACTCGGGTCAACCCGTCTATGTTCTCAACTTATTCTGTAGTGCTGGACCTGAGGTGGGAGCTCGCCGGTTCTGTGCTCCACTCAGACTAGTACTTACCATCGGAGTCAGCTCATTGCAGGTTTCTTCAATTGGGGATTGCTCGGGGTGCTGAATACACAAGTGTGTACGTATTATATCACGCAAACAACGTCCGTAACCCGGTACTAAACGCCAATGCTGAATCAGATCATTATCACACTTACTTCCCTACAGATCCATGGTCTTTCAAATTGATGGGTGCGTATCATCGTTAACTACGTCTTGCGTCTTGAACTCACCGTCGACAAGTATACGGGACATTGATCTTCGAATGGGTCCATACGGGGCTGATCACCTCTGGCATGATGACCATCTTCGTCTATGACTTCGGGAACCCCGAGCCCGCGTTGGAAACGCACAATACTTGGTTCTCAGGGCCAATCATGTGCGGTCTCATGTCAATGCTAGTGCAGATGTTCTTTGCTTGGCGGATCTACATGTTCTCGAAATCGTACTGGATGTCTGGAGCTATTGTCATGGTACGTTCAGAGGGCTAAATCGCAGTGAGCCGAGGATGTGAAGCTACTACATTCTATAGATCTCACTCGTGCAGGGAACATTTGCGATTGTAGCCGGAGTCATGGTACGAACAAGCGACGCACGTATTGCCGTCTACTGACTGACGCATCCTCCTCCTGTTCACAGCTGAAATCAATAACTCGAGTGGAAGATGTTCTTCACGGAGCTGCGTTCTCCCTCATTGTTGTAAGTATCTAATATACCTTCGACATGCATTTTCTCACAAGTACAAGGTATGGATCTCTGTGGCTGCTGCAGTCGATATCGTAATCGCCATCATCATGACCATCCTGGTATGCCCCGACACTGTGTAGGGTTCGGGTAACTGAAACTACGCCCTCATGTTCTAGCTCCTCAGGAGACGCAGCGTAGATTCTGTCTCTACTGCTCTCGTCAATCGAACAGTCCGACTAGTAGTGGAAACAGGTACACTTACCGGTGAGTGAAGCATGATTTCGGACCCACTATCAAACTGAGGCCGCGTGTTCAGCTAGCTGCACTCTCATCATGGTAGTACTAGCGAAAGCTCCTCAGGTAATCACCAAATAAGGGACGGGCTACACCTAGTCGCTGAACGATAGACCTAGACACGGAACACCCAAATATACACTGTCCTGTGAGTAACGTTCACTAAACCCCGCTCGATTCATCAATCTGACATTCTGTGAAAACAGATCTCTCACTCTGACCAAGATGTGCGCACGGTTCATGCGGCCCCGCCGTATACAGTACTGGACTAATGAAGCCTCGCAGATATGCAAACACCCTTCTCACAAACCTCAACAACCGAGCGCGCACGTCAGAAACATCTCCGAAGGTACACATCTCATTTGGGTTTCTGCAGAAGTCACCCGCATCCGATGGCGCAACAATCGCCGTATCTGGCTCTGGCGAGCTTTATGAATTACCGTCGCACCGCGAAATCCCCGAGATCAACGCACTCAGTAACGGACACCACATCGTAGGTTGGAAACCTGGATGCATGTCAAGACTCGCTGAACGATTTACTCTAGGAACAAGACGGAGCCATGACGACCGTGGTCTGACCGACGAGTAGACAGGGCCCTATCGGTAGTGTGCATGGTCTGGCATGCGGATTATTTGATTCTTAGCGTCGACGCAATGACTTTCATTCTTTCTGAGGTCATAGAAGCATCGAATGTCGACACTTGGAGATATCATATGTGTGCGTCGTTCTCTTTGAGAAAGCCCGCCTCAGGTAGCATGCTCGAGACAGTTCTCGCGACAGATCCCTGGGCGAGGACGGGCCACTGGCAGATCAAGTCATTTGACTGTCCCACCCATAGAATCCGTGAAATTGAGATACATCTTGAGAGTAGTAGGGATGGGCGTCACTGTCGCATACGGTGACAGTACGGCGATGTAGGACGCGGAGCAGAAGCGGAAGCACCGGGTGTTCGCAGTAGGGTCATGCGTTCCGTGTTCGTGTGACTGGCCAAACTGGTGTTCGAACTTTCTGCGACTTGACCCAGCAGCAGGACGTTTCGACGTCGACTCGCCAGTATTCCCGCGAAACCCTTCATCCATACATCGTAGTTCCACTGGACCCCCATTCCAAAAAGCGAACACAGGCGGAGTGTGTCTGTTCCCGTCAAGATCGGCACAGTCGGCAGTGTCGAGGGCGAGCGAAACCAAAAGGTGTTTGAAATCCCGGCGGGACACAGCTGCCGATTCTGACACCAGGTAAGTATGTACCGTAGAAAACGCTCAATGGCTCGACAATTCGACCGGCCATTATACATCTTTGCTTGACCCAGAAGAACTCGATCTGAACTGGTGTCTTTCCATTCCCGGTATTGACCTTGCCCCACGTAGGTCCATTCCGAGAAGTAAGCAGGCGTAGTCCCCTCACCCCCATTGCTCGTCGCGTATATGCCAAGCAGCGTCCCTACAACGGCATATCACGTCAGCTTCTTCAAGCCCTGGCAGATCAAACCTTCAGACGCACCCGTGAAGCCCCAACTGACATCCGCCGCGAGCCCATAGCCAATCGTCTGCATCTGCGAGCGGGCGTCCGCAGGACCCGCTGCGAAGCTGTAGTGCGTAAGGTTGGATGCCTTGATCTCCCAATGCAGCGTTCGGCCGAGCCATGCACTGGGTACGGGAGTCACCGTGGTAGGCAGTACACCGATATAGGACAAGGAGCGGAACCGGAAGCATGGGGTGAGCGCTGTTATGTTCGTACTTGTGTTTGTGTAAGGCAGGAGCACTGTGCCAAGATCGATATGGTGATTCTACGTGACTCAGGGAGATCAATGTACAGGTTCTTGATAGATGGGCATCTACACACCTGTGTCAGGAAGACCGTCACACCAGCTTCCTCTTCCTCAAGGGATGGTGCGAAGTCCATGTTGACGCTGTACGCGAACAGCGTGTCCATCTGTCTTCGAGCGAGTAGGGTTTGACCCTCGGGGCCAGCGTAATTTCCATCATAAGCAGTCAGGTTAAGCTTCGAGGGCAGAAGGCGGAGTGTATTGGGATGACCGGGTGGTGAGATGGTGTACGAAGTATTGATGGGCAGCCGCCAGTGCACAAGATGGATGGGCAAAAGGGATCCAGGCGAGAAGGTGAGATAGTCTGGTGAGTCAGCGAACGGTCTGGGCTGCGTCAGCCATAGTACTCGGATGCCTTCATGAAGCGACACACCCTTCTCCAGGCACGTCGAAGTTCGTCTTCGGTAGATGCCAACCGCTCATCTCTCCCTGCACAGGCTGCAGCACAGGCCACTCGCCCTCCTCCCACGTAACCGGGTACAGCACCGTCTCGCGTCCCATCGGAAACACGGTGTAGTCGGGCCCAGATCGTGTAGACAGCGCGACGCCCCACCAGTTCCCCTCCGCGTCCTGGAACAAGTCTGCATGGCCGACCGTCTGGAAGTACTCGCTCGTATTGGCGTTCGTCAGGATCGGGTTCGCCGGGTTGGACTCATATGGCCCGCCCACCTCGCGTGCCCGCGCGATTGTCTCCATGTGGTTCAGGCCCGTCCCGCCCTCCGCGATCATCAGGTAGTAGTACCCATCACGCCAGTAGATGTGCGGGCCCTCGGGCGCCTCGCCGCCTGTGCCGTTCCAGATGTACTGGTAGCTTGCGCCGACCTCGCCCGTGGCGAGGTCGAGTGTCGTCTGCGTGATTCCGGGAGTAACTTCCCAAGGGTGCGAACCCGTGACGTGGACGGTGCTGTCAGAGTCCCAGAACGGCGAGATGTCGTATCCAGTGAAGTTGAAGTGCACGGGCTGCGACCAGGACGCGGATGAATACGGATTCCTGGAGGTGAAGATCATGTTGTCCCAGCGCGAGGAGTTCGTTTCAGGCTGGTCGTCAAAGACGAGCGTCGTGAGCACATAGAACGTGCCTTCGCGGTAGCGGACCGTGGAACCCCATATCCCGCTGGTGGACTTGTTCGTAATGGCAAGGGTTGGCAACTGCTCGGGACGGTTGAGAGCATTGCTGACGAGCCGCCAGTTGATCAAGTCTTTGCTGGCATGTATCGGGATACCGGGAAACGCATTGAAGCTGCTCGACGCGCAGAAGAACGTGTTGTCCTCCTCAGGAACGAATATGCAACTGGGTCGGGGTGGAAGCCAGGGATGACGGGATTGTAGTAGGTTGAATTCCAGGCCTTGACATGCACAGGTAGTAAGCAGGCCAACGCGCTCAGAAGTAGCGATGTCAGATGTGTCATACTTAGTGCTCCCTGGCAGGTTGTGTGCTCCCTGGCAGGTTGTGTGCACTGTCCAGGCGCGACGCGACGCGCCATCGCGCACGCGTAAATAACGTCCTGGACGTCCTAGCGGACCGGCGGCATGCGGTGTAAATGTCGTGCCCTAGAATAGCGAGTCAGATGTCTCATTAGTGCAATCACGAGACCACACGCACGAACATGCAGGATGCAACTCCAGAGCTACATTCGCCCACACTGTCGATTCGGGACTGTAGTCGTCCAGTATGCGACAGCATACCGTAAAGACGCGACATTTCGTTGACTTCGTATAAGCTGGACACGATCAGGCTGGTCAAGTAGTACAATGGACGCACACCGACTTGAAAGGCCGATATTCAGCCGGCATCTCGTCATGGACAGTAAGGACGGGCCGACCTAGATGCTGAGCGAGACTGAATACGTTTTGTTACTGGCGATTCGGTGCTCGCTGCGGTAGCCAAGGATCAGCACTGCGAGTCCGACAAGCGGCGTCGAGGTCGTTGCATTGGGGAAAAACACAGCTGAGAGTTCTTCAAGAGTTCTTCAACGCTAATGGAGTGCTGGTGCTGCAAATCGTCCGAGCTGAGGAGAGGGCTATGTCGCATCGTGCACGTCGCGGCCTGGCATTGCACATCGACTGCGGATTATAAGAGATGAGATCCAACGAATAGTCGGTGACGGTGAGATGCAAGTCGTTTCGGTCTTCGGCGCTTGCACTACGAAGCCTTCGGTGAACAGACCGGCCTCCTGCCGCCACCTACTTAAAACGACCCTAAAGAAAGTCTCTAGGCCTTCTGTCAAACCTTCGCTTCACACATATCGGTATGCCAGAAGGAGGTGCGGGTCTTGCATGGTTCTTTCAGGTGGCGTACAATTTATATATCGAAAAGTTCTAACACGCAGGAACCGCCACCAACGGCCATGAATCGCACTTCAGCTCTACACAGGGTTTCGGCGTCTGTGTAACGCACTGAGATAGTCCTTGTAATGGGGGCTGTCGGTTGCTGCGCAGTACTAGCGCGTCGAAAGTAGGTAGTCGCAACAGTCGACGAAGTCGCCTCGTCCTTGAACGGACTTCCTGAACCTGAGTACTTGAGTATTCATACGTCACAGTGCATACATGCTCACAAACCATTCACAACCTGTACCACCAACGGCTCACACGCGCCAACTGGAACGTGTTCGACCCGCTGATGGTACAGACTGCACAGGCATCACAGGTTTTCTACCTACGAGGACAGGCGCGGAAGTGGATGGACAGGCAGGAGGGTCGTCACATGTGCGATGAGGAGATACATGCAGGAGACGGTGACCCGGAACGCGAACCACGAACCCATATAGCCACTCGCAGCACGAGGGCGAAGCCACCCGCAGCCTTTCGGCACGGGGGCGGGCGGACAGCTCCTCTCGGTGCTGCCGCCAAGTAGGCCACCCGCGGCATGTGCTCCGCACGCGGGGGCAAGCGGACAGCAGCCTTTCGGCGCTGCCGCAACGAACCCACAAACACTACATGAGCGATAGTTGAATGGCCAGGCAGGAGGGGTATGACAGGCGCGATGGGTGGATGGTACATGAGGGGAGCCGGACCAAGAACCACGAAGCACAGACCAAGCCGGAACGGAAACCGCTCACCTTCGTCTGGGGCTGCAGGATAAATGGTGAGTATGAGGTAAGGGGATAGAACTATGTTCACCGTGAGTCGGGGGCGGAGAAGATGGCGGTGGGAAGTCAAGGTGAGATACCGATCCTGTCTGTTCCGGAGGTTCTTATATAGTCTGGAAAGAATGTCAGCCCAGCGGAAGCAGCTGGCTTAGGATTGTGACTGCGACAGGCGTTGCAAGTCAGCCTCCAAGCACATTCGATACCCACCCGCGACGCGGTCAGGTGATCGTGTATATCCTGGTTCTCGCTCATTGAATATGATGTGAGCAAAACTTATGAGTGGACAATGACCGTGTTAATGTCTATGAAGTGTTTCCTTACCTCTCATTTCAGATATTCAGTACATCCCCATTGAAATATTGACCCGTCAGGTATTCGTCTGAGCACAGGCATCGTCAGACACTCGAACCCGAAGTTGCGAGTGGGACAGCACTCGGAGATGCTGAGCTAAGTATATAGGTCTGTCACTCTTCAGTGCGATACAAAAGGATTGGTTTTGCTGATTTAGAGTGTTAACAGCGCGCAGGTGCCTCTGTAGAGAACAAACGGGGCGATTCTCTGGACCTCTCCAAACGCGAGAGCGGCTGCCCTGAATCCGATGCGGTCTTGCGAGTTGAACGGCGCGGAGATATGAATTGCTGGCACAAGCTGTGATGCACTCTAATATGACATCCCGAGACTTGCGTCGCAGATTGAAACCTCGCTGGTCCCAGTACAAATTATCAATGGCGTATTCGGCGAGTCGGTCGGTGAATGATGCCGCTGTGTTCCGCCGTCCGCAGTCCAATGTCGACTGTATGTCAGGTCGGCTTCATGAAGTCAATGAGCGCCTCGCGGAAGGCCCGCGAGTGTCCTTGGCACGGTCCGGCTTTCGCCTCGTTGAGCGGTGAGTAGAACGCCTCCGGCCTTGTATCAAACGTGTTCTCAGACCCGCACAAGGAGCCCGAGTTCGATCCTCACTACTTCGAGCATGAGGTCGACTTAGATATTTTCACCGAGAAGTGGATCAGGAAGTTGGCGGATGTCTCGCCGTTGAAGGACATCATCGGTGCGTGGAACACATTGCCATGAATCACATTGGCTAATCTTGGCGTAATGCGCCTGTAGTCAACGAGCTGAATCCGGGCCCGCAGGTGAAGGATGACACGCAGGTCCGTGAATGGATCAAGAAGAGCATGAGCACGACGTGGCGTGAGTGCCGAGATACTTTCGGACCGAAAGAGAGACCTGACGCGGTTTGACTCTGCAGTCACCGCTTCGTGATGCTCAATGCTCCCGAAAGCGCACAATGGTGTCGTCGATCCCGGGCCCGAGCTTAGGGTCTACGGTACGAACAACATCCGCGTTATTGACCTGTCTGTCGTTCCGCTGCTGTTCGCTGCGCACCCGATTTGTGAGTACTGCGTACAATCTACTGAAGGCTGGTGACCTGATTGCATACGTGCTGGACAGCGACTGCCTTCGGCCTCGCAGAGCAGGGCGCGGACATCAGCAAGGGTAAGTTCGATCCCTGAAGGCGAGCATTGCCTCGCTCAAACTGAGCGCGTGAGGCTGCTAAGGAGAAAACACATGTACGCATGCACGAGCATATCACACGGAATCGAATGTTGCATCAGTTTTTGTTAGAAGGTTGGAGGGAAGGTCTGGCATGCTTTCAAAATCGCGCAGAAGTCGCCTCGTCCTTGAAACGGGCTTCTAGGACCTGATTATTTGAGTATTCATACGTCACAGTGCATACATGCTCACAATACCATTCACAACCTGTACCACCAACGGCTCACACGCGCCAACTGGAACGTGTTCGACCCGTTGATGGTACAGACTGCACAGGCATCACAAGCTTTTTACCTACGAAGACAGGCGCGGAAGTGGATGGACAGGCAGGAGGGTCGACACATGCGCGATGAAGAGATACATGCAGGAGACGGTGACCCGAAACGCAAACCACGAACCCATATAGCCTCTCGCAGCACGAGGGCGACGCCACCCGCAGCCTTTCGGCACGGGGGCGGGCGGACAGCTCCTCTCGGTGCTGCCGCCAAGTAGGCCACCCGCGGCATGTGCTCCGCACGCGGGGGCAAGCGGACAGCAGCCTTTCGGCGCTGCCGCAACGAACCCACAAACACTACATGAGCGAGAGTTGAGTGGACAGGTAGGAGGGGTATGACAGGCGCGATGGGTGGATGGTACAAGAGGGGAGCCGAATCACGAACCACAGACCAAGTCAGAACGGAACCCACTCACCTTCGTCTTGGGCTGTATTCGTCTTGGGCTGTAGAATACATGGTGAGTATGAGGCAAGGAGAGAGAACAAGGTTCACCGTGGATAGCCCGTGCACGAGTCCAACAGCGGGGAGGAGGGGGCCGTCGGAGGCGGAGAAGATGGAGGAGGGAAGGAAAGGTGAGTTGACGATTCGCTCTGCTCCAGAGGTCCTTATATACTCTGGATACGGTGTCAGCCCGGCGGATGTGGCTGGCTCACGATTCTGACCGCGACCAACGTCCCGCGTCAGCCCCACACTAACGCCAACACCGTACCAAATGCGACGCGGTCACGTGAAACGTCCCATTCATGGTTACACTACAGCGTGTAGCCTAGTATCACGTCTAATAATCTGTTTCCTTGAATTATCACTCAAGTGGCTGGCACAGAGAGCCATCAGCAAGAATGCACGCGTAGTACTCGAGTGAACAGGATAACACTCATGTCGGAACGGCCACTGAGTGAGCATCTGCCAGGTGCACCTCGACATGCATTGATATATGTACAAGTAAAATTATGACTTATTGGTATAGTACAAGACGACAAGCTGTAATAGTGGTGATCTAGACGTCTACGATGTATCAGTGCTGTCCGTATTGCCACGCTATTTCGCCTCCGCCCATCTACGTCCACTGCGTGCCCTTCACCTTTACGAGGAAATGTCTCCCTATACACGTGAACCCAGCGCCAGCCACCATCACGACCTGCATTGACCGACTCATGATCAGCCAGCGCTCAACATGGGGTCTCACACAAGACTTACCCCGCTGAATACGATGGGCTTGGGCCACTGCAGCACGGAGCCTTGCCCTAGGAGTGCCCCGTCGATGGGCGTCCCGGTCAGCATGGCGAACGAGACGATGCAGTATCCGAGGCCCATTCGAATACTACAGGGGAACACCGTGAGCGTGCTGGCAGGGAAACATAGAAGAGGATAACGTACCCGAGCTCCTCAGGTTTATTCGCCAACACCGCGAGTACGCTCGGTACGAGCGCAATATCTACGCATGATTCGAGTCAGCGAGAGCAACAGATGAACACGGCCAGGGGTCTGCTTACATGCGCCCGAGAAGAACCCGTACAAGATGGAGAAGACGACGACCGCGGCGGTGTTCGTCACGCCGAACATGACGAACACGAGCGCGCCCATGATGAAGGAGACGGGGATCACAACGTTCAGGGCCCCGAAGTAGTCGGCCAGCGTATTCGGGATGACCCGCCCCGGGACGGAGGCTGCGTTCAGGATGGCGATCTGGGCACAGGTCAGGTCGGGGCGTCGGCGGACGCGGGAGGGGGCGTACCGTGTAGAATGCGAGGGTGCTTGAGAGCCCGTGTAGGTTGAGCCAGAGTTGGAGGTAGAAATCTGTCGAGGTCCGTTGGTGAATGACTATTTGGGGCAGGCTCGTGCTGACACTCACAAGGCATGAAGAGTCCCCAGTACACTAGGAACACTCTACGGACTCGTCAGCATTGTCACCTTACTTCACGTGTACGTAGCCGCTCACCCAAACACCATGAACACGAACGGCGGGTCTCTCAACGCGCCCCAAACGTTCGGCTTCGGCTGCGTTCCCCTCTCCTTCGCTCCGGGCACCCTCGTCCGCATCAAGAGCTGCGCGATCAGCAACAGCCCCAGCGTCAAGAACCCCGACGCGCGCACGCCCCACGCAAATCCTATCGCGCTGTTCCCGCTGATCAGGCGGTTCAGCATGATCGGGTAGATGATGCCGCCGCAACCTGAGCCGGTGACGACGAGGCCGAGCGCCATGCTCCGTCGCTTCTTCCAGTAGTGCCCCTGGAGCGAGAGCGCGGGGACGAGCATGAACCCGCCGCCGATACCCATGCCGATACCTTGGGCGAGGAGGATTTGGTAGTATTTTGTCGGGTCGGCTAAGGAGAGCATGAAGAGACTGGAGGCGCGGTGTTCGCAGTGTGTTCGATCCGCATATATGGAGGTACGCACCAGAAGAGGTATAGAATGCTCCCGAGGAGGACCTCGGAGTGGAAGTAGCCCGCGTCGAAGAGTCGACCAGCGGGGAAACCCACGAAGAAGATGAGGAACAGCTGCAAGGAGCCTATCCAGCTGATGTTGGACGACGTCGAGGTGCCTGCGAGCACGTAGTAGTCTTGGTAGACACCGAATGAACTCGCATAGCCGAACGTGCAGAAGGATACCAGCGCCCTACTTGCGTTCATGAGCGAGGTGGATTTCGGAGTACAAGCTAATACGCACCCGCCAATAGTAGCACACCATGCGCGCGATCCGCCGTCGGGTATGTTGTCGAGTGGTTGTAAGATGTCTGCCTCAGCATCGGCCCTCTCTTCGGGCAGAGTCTTGGCAGAGTTGAGTTGTTCAAGCTGGACGGAGTTGATCGTGGTATGGTCGTCCAGAGAGCCGTTTGAGCTCATCGCAGTGTGAGACATATTGCAAGAGCTGCTCCCGCAGGGTGATCCTTAAGAACACACAGGTAGGCGACCGAAGGGTGTCGCCATAACGTTCCGCGGACGGACCTGGTCCAGCAAAGATGAGCAGGCTCGGTGCGACGGCAGGCCGCCGTGCTGTAGCGGGACGCCAGTTGTGCCGCCGGAGACAGAGTCTGGAGGGATTCCGCGCAGCCTCGCGAGTCATTGAGGGTTATGACGGAGAGCGAGGTCCGGAACAGAAAGGTCGGGGACCACTGCAATCTACGGAGGTCTCGGTGCCCGCTCTCCGTCGGCTCGGAACGACGTCTTTCGACGGAGAGTTGTGGCTTGCTGGCCCATCCTCCGTTCGTAGAGCGCTGCAGATGCTGCGGTGCGTTGGGAGAAGTAGTTCAGGGTATTAACCAATCCAGAATGTACTCAGCACTGGCTGCTGGCAGTGCTCAGTGCGGATTCGTGGCGAGGAGGCGTCGGGCGGCAGATGGAACGGACGATCGGCGCGCGATCGAGGTTCGTTCCAGCGGAACCCAGTCTTCCGCACCCCACAGCCACATGGGCAGCCTGCAGTCCGCCCGGAGGGCCTTCTCGACTCGTCAGAGTCCCAGCCCAGGCAAGGCGTTCCGGGGCGGGCCTTGACTACACCGTGTTGCACATGCGTTGCGGCTGGAGGGCATGCGGAACTAGGACTGGCGGGCACTCTCTTTGCACGTTCTATTCGATTTGAAGTTCATCGCGGACCACAGCCTCTGCGTTAGCGTTGAGGCGGTCACTGCGACGTGGGTAGATAGCAGCCCGAGCCAAATGCTATCGAAAAGCCTTAGCATGAGTCTTCGTGTTATACATGACATTGCAACAGGCCAGGCAAATACCGAGGCTATGGACGGCAAGAAGTACACATCGTACCAGCGGCTGGGGTTGCACAGGGAATCCAAATGCAGGGCAAGCAACCCGGAAGATCCACGTACGCGACGCACGGACCTCATCCCCGAGGTCACTCACAACCTCGTAACAGACCACACCAGCATCTGGTAGTTGACAGTTCCCGGCATCTCCGCGCGCTGGGCCGTCTCGACCCATTTCGAGACGTCCATCTGAAACATATCCTTCGCTGCACGCAGAACCACCTCCACCCTCACCTTGCCCTTCTCGAACACCTCCCCGTCCCACAGCTCCTCCCAGCTCTCCGGCGAGTGGCAGAACATCTGCGTCCCCGACCGCAACGTGCGCCGTTCCAGCCACGGGCCCTTCTCCGGCTGGCCGGCGTGCACGCCCACGATCATGGACCCGGGCACGGGCGAGAGCAGCCCGGCGAGCTTGCGTGCGAGCTCGAGCTGCTGCTCCTCATTGAAGAGGTGGAAGAACGATGACGCATGGATCGCGGAGACGTGCCCATTCAACGGGCTGAGTGTCCTCAGGGCGGCAAGCGCGGGCGGGGGTGTGGTCGGTGGGGTGTCTAAGATCGGGCTGCCCTCGAAGAAAGCCGAGTCGAAGGCATCACCGCCCACGAAGTGGGCGGGGAATTCCTCCGCTGTAGTTCTGAACAGCTTGTGGCCGAGGACCCAATATTCTGCCATCGAGGTCAGCCTTCCATTTGCTTGGTGATATTCTCGGGCTGACCTGGGTGCAGGTCTGACGCAATGGCGTTCTCGACGGGAAAGCCATCCGCCACTGCCTTCCGAACATCAACTCCGACTGAGAGGGCAGATTCAACGAGCTTGCACCCAGACAAGGTTGACGTACGTACAGCAGCATCCTATGTCAAGCAGGATGGCGCCCTTGCGCTCCTTCCCAAGTTTGACAACCTGGTCGTACGCAGGAAGACGGCTGGCGACGAGCCTTGAAAGATTCGCGTTGGTAAGCAGGTATCGTTGGAGATGAATCACAGCGGAGACGCACTTCGTGAAGGCAAAAGCTCTGATGCAGGTGTACGGGGTAACCTACGGACGGAAAACCGGTCAGACGCGCCTCAACGGTGCTCAACAGCTGATGCAACAATCACCTTCAGAGCCTCCGCCTGGACGCTCATGATGTGGCGCTTGAGTTCTTGCTCATCCTTGATGCCAGTCTGCGCCCGGAAGAACGCGAGCTCTTCCGGCTGAAGGTAGTAGAGCTTCTCGTATAAAGCTGGGTCATAGTCAGTCGTTAGATTCTCCGCCGACATGTCTAGGATCTTCGCGGTGTCGTTCGACTTTGTACTGAGAGAGCTTTCGGGGACTGATACAGCCCACCCAACTTAATTCTGTGCCCTTTTAGCTGCCTGAAAAGAGCGCTGCTCGCTCATCTCTGTTGACTGATGGTGGCCGGCAGAGATGCCAATGCCCCGGGCGGGGCGTACATGGCCCAAGAGTAAGCGGCCATTATAGCGCTCGGCGCGTCGCACCGCGGCATCGTCGATCATTGAGTCTTCGATCTGCCATTTAGGCTCTCACGGCAACTGCTCTGAGCAAAGAGGCCCGCGGTGGCCTGGTGAATCTGTTTGAGCAGGTGTGTGAGCTTGTGAGCGGGCTGTTTGTGGCGGTGAAATGGCCCACGAGGAATCTTCTCCCTACGAGTAAAAATATACTCAGGGAATCATGTACTAGACCGGTAAGTCGACTTGAATAGTCATCGTGCCGATACAATCTAGGTGGTCATGGATGGAATATGTTCTGTTAGACGAAGCACCCTTTGCATATAGCCCAGACGGCGTGATATCGTTCAGCGCCCACGCAATCAGAAGCGCATGCAGCGACGGTGCCGCATCTCGTAGACATTCTGCGTCACCTCGATAAAAACACCAGAGCAGTAAAACACTCGCCGAACATCGTTGATCGTCGGTAGTCGTTGCAGCTTCCAGAGCCAGTGCGAAGGGCCATCACTGGGAGTGCTTCAAGCGATTCGGAGCTGTGGCTGGCCGCGACGACCGCCTTCCCAACGCGGCAATTCACTACTTACCCTATCGAGCGATCCCGTCAAATCTAACCGTCCCCATTGCCAGTTCTACCTCTCAACACGCAGAAGCTGCTGCCTGTGGCCGTGCATCGTCTCACTCCAGCTCCACGAAGGGACTTGGCGCCTGTCTCACGTACTGAGACGGTCTTTGTAATGGGGAATGTCGGTTACTGCGCAAGAGCGCGTCGAATGTAGGTATTCGCAACAGTCTACGAATGGAACGCGCTTCCTGAACCTACTTGAGTATTCATATATTCATACGTCACAGTGCATACATACTAAAAAATCGTTCACAACCTGTACCACCAACGGCTCACACGCGCCAACTGGAACGTGTTCGACCCGTTGACGGTACAGACTGCACAGGCATCACAGGTTTTCTACCTACGAGGACAGGCGCGGAAGTGAATGGACAGGCAGGAGGGTCGACACATGCGTGATGAGGAGATACATGCAGGAGACGGTGACCCGGAACGCAAACCACGAACCCATATAGCCACTCGCAGCACGAGGGCGAAGTCACCCGCAGCCTTTCGGCACGGGGGCGGACGGACAGCTCCTCTCGGTGCTGCCGCCAGTAGGCCACCCGCGGCATGTGCTCCGCACGCGGGGGCAAGCGGACAGCAGCCTTTCGGCGCTGCCGCAACGAACCCACAAACAATACATGAGCGAGAGGTGAATGGACAGGTAGGAGGGGTATGACAGGCGCGATGGGTGGATGGTACAAGAGGGGAGCCGAACAACGAACCACAGACCAAGCCGGAACGGAACCCACTCACCTTCGGCTTGGGCTGCAGGATACGTGGTGAGTACGAGGTAAGAGAATAGAACAATGTTCACCGCGAGTAACCCATGCACGAGTCCAAAAGCCGGGAGAAGGGAGTCGAAGGCGGAGAAGATGGAGGTGGGAAGGAAAGGTGAGGTGATGATTCACTCTGCCCCGGAAGTCCTTATATACTCTGGATATGGTGTCAGCCCGGCGGACGCGGCTGGCTTCGGTTTCTGACTACGACTAACGCTACAAGTCAGCCCCACACGCGGTGTGCCCATCCACGACGCGGTCATGTGATCGCGTATAACCTCGTTGCGATCCGAGGAGACAGTCACTGGGGACAAGACGCGTCGGTCGGAGCGCGAACATTGGAAGGACATTGTACGAATTATGATAAATTTTCTCACGGTTTTCCGCGGCCGAACACAGCGAGGACATTTCCCATGTTTGGACACCGGACATGCAGCATGTTCGTAGCATGTACTGTATGGAAACAGCGGGGAATAATAAATACTGGGCTTGGTATGTCCTGATACAGAACACGAGGAATACAGCCAAAATGTTCCCGCCTACAACATTGTGCGAACATCGCGTGTACACTGGAATGACATAAGCATGTCCTGAGCATGCCCGGAGCGAGGACATGCTGCATGTCCACAAATGGAACATGTCGAGACCATACAATATGTCCGTAAATCCAGCGATGTTCTTTGGATTTTCTTAGCGTGCCTTGCATTATGACATGGAGTATGTCCTCGCCCCGGGCATGCTCAGGACATGCTTATGTCATTCCAGTGTACACGCGATGTTCGCACAATGTTGTAGGCGGGAACATTTTGGCTGTATTCCTCGTGTTCTGTATCAGGACATACCAAGCCCAGTATTTATTATTCCCCGCTGTTTCCATACAGTACATGCTACGAACATGCTGCATGTCCGGTGTCCAAACATGGGAAATGTCCTCGCTGTGTTCGGCCGCGGAAAACCGTGAGAAAATTTATCATAATTCGTACAATGTCCTTCCAATGTTCGCGCTCCGACCGACGCGTCTTGCCCCCAGTGAGTAACCCACGAGTGGACATCGGCTGTGCTTACTTCCACGACGCGTAGCGAATATAGTCAAGTATGTATATCTAGCCAGGTATCCGTCTATATAAATTTGAAGTTGTCGGTAGGGCAGCACTCGAAGATGCTGCGCAAGCCTGTCACTCGGTTAAGGGTGACACGAGGAGTCAGTCTCGTTGGATACGGAGTGATGGCATTGCATAGGTGCCTTTGTAGCGAATAACGGGACATTGGGTTCCTGGGCGGTGCCAACGTCTGAAAGCCCGATGCGGTCATGCGAGTCAAATAGTGCGGAGGCGCAAGCCATATTCGTGATGCATTTCTAGCATAACGCACTCAAACCCGCGTCGCCAAATGATACAGTGTGATACCACTAGTCCCCAAATCAAACCGTTGATGTAGTCCGAAATATGGCTACAATCCCAGTGCCGCCTTCAGCCTCGGATAATTCGGCGTGCCCAGACCCGTCACCTGTTACACATGCGTCAGCCTCAACTATCGTTGTATAGACGGGCCACTTACTGCGTCCCAGCCAGCAGTAGCAGTAAACCCAGTAGTGTAATTAGAGCACGCGTAGTTATTTCCGACCGTGATATCGTTCAGCGCGGATGCGCCCGACGAATACAGCCACGGGTTCAAAAAGCCCAGTGCAGGACGGCCCGCCGCGAGGAGCTCGCCGTTAAGAAGTGACATGACACTTGCGAAGGTTGGGCTCGCGCAGCTCGTCCCACTCACGCCGCCCTCCTCGCCTGCATAGAGGATGTCGAAGTCGACAGCGTACGCGGCGACATCGGGGAACGCGCGTCCGTTCGGGTTATACAACCCTGCATTGGTGGCGCCCAGATAAGTCAAGTACTCTTCAACCGCGGTGTCTTGGTACGTGGGCCGGTCAAAGAATGTCGAGAAGCCTCCGCTCGAGAAGTTCACGGCCGTCTCCGGGATGAGGTAGGTTCCGCCAACCGATGTTAGACTGTTTGTGGCCGATGTTAGTGCACTGTAAACTCTATGCCGTTCACAGGACTTACTATGGGCATCCAGAAGGGAATGTTGGGATGAAGGTCGTGCATGTTTCCTCGGGGTAGTGCAGGCCAGAGACGCCGCCGTCACCAGAAGCGAACAGCACAGAGACACCGCGCGCGCCCAAGCCCGCATATGCGGCACACAAAGCACTGTACAATTACACGTTATTTTTGGTGTTTTTCCGTGGTATGCAGGAGCTTATACGTACTATGCAAGATTCTCGGAAATGTACTCCTCATCATCGCCGTAGCTTGTCGTCATCACCTGTGGGGGAGAAGGCAGCATGTACAGCGCCGTATCGATGAGCGTCTCGGCGAATTCGTCGTCCGTACCGTTATCGGTGTTGCCAACGGAGATGAAGGTGACGGGTACGCCTGTTGCGAGGCCGATCGTATACTGAGTGTCGAGGTTCTGCATGGCGGATTGCTTCGGTTAGCTGGCATATCCTCGAGCTATCGAAGGAACAGTGCTAACCGCTTCAATGCCTGCATCATTAGGACTCTGAGGGTCTGAGCCACCATCCAGCGTCACGAGAGTCCATGTCGTCGTGGGTTTGATGTCCGGGCGATGCTCTTCCAAAAACGTCTACCAAGTGTCAAATTTCCTTGACCGCCAATATGTACGCGCATAGGCAGGCGCCACGCACCATCAAATCCGCCTCCTGTGGCCACTGCTCGATGTACCCAGTGACGGCTAAAGCATTCCCGTCGCTTACCTCAGGCGTGGTCGGAATGCCATATAACCATTGTAGGCATGCGGGCGTGACGAGGTCGATGTTGCATGGACCAGTGCTGACATCCGAAGTCAGTCCGGATGACGTGAAATCGGTGATGGGCATGTGGCTGTATGGGTTGGGGAACCTGAACCGAAGTCAACGACACAGGCTCAATGGTTAGGAGATGTGCGAATGAGTAAGCACAGAACCAACGCACGATACGGTCGGATGCACCAAGTCGAGATGACCCACTAGATCCGTGGGGATCGAGTACGCAAGCGTACGAACAGCCTGCTTGCCAGTTGTGGAGTGGGTGAAGACAGAAAACTCCGCGTCAAGAAGTTCATCCGCCTTGCTGACGGGCATCTGTACTGAGAGCCAGTTGCCAGCCGATGAAAGCGTAGTTGCTTGCAATCCATTTTCAGCCAGCCACGCATTCACTGCTGAGGTACTCGCAGCAGTCGGTGCCATGTATGCCTCAACCTATGAATATTCAATAAGGATAGGAGATTCCCCAGAAGACAATATGAAAGCGTACATCTTCCTTGCTGAGGTACGCTCCGTAACTCGCGCTCGAAGGCGTGCTGACGTCGTACAACGCATCAACAAGCCCTGTATAATCACTTTGGGTAAGGGCGAGACGAAGTGTGAGGACGGCGTCCGGGGTCGCAGATCCAGTGACCGTGTATCCCGAAGGAGGGCTCGTGCGCGATTCCTGCACCTGCATACTTCGTCGCATAGGCGTACCCCAGGAAATGACAGGAAACAGCAGGGCGAGCAAGAGCGACGAGGCGATCATCTTCGGGTTTACCTTACGGACACGCGACCGCGAGTTTCAGCCGACTCGACTTACAAGAGGTCGTGAAGAAGCCTCGAGAGCATGCCCATTTATACGACACCGCTTGAGCTATATTCGGCACCGAGGGAAATAAGCGGCTGATGAAAACAGATAAGTAGTCAGCGACCATTGTTCGGCGAAGCAGCTGGCCAAGCGTAGGTGCACAGTGGAGACGAACGCATCAGAGAGGGGTTACCACTTGTATGTTCTCATCAAGCACCAGCATATCTGGATATGTCAAACTGCAGAGTGGACAAGGCGCAACACAAAGTACAGAACGTGCCTTACAAGAATGGGACGTACTAGGTCCGGCGCTGTTGCAGATACGAAGAGAACGAGTCTTACGAGATGCAGTTAATTGACACGGTCTAGTACGGGAAAGGCGTTCCGGGTACATATTTTCATGTCGCTGCCGAGGTAGTACTGCGAAAGACAGACAACAGCTTACCCACTAAGCCATGCGCTTGACCCACCCCTCTAGAGAGCTTCCAATACCAGCACGGATGCCACGGATGCGGGGAAAACAGGCAGCCTAACAGCTCGGATATATCACAGGAAGCCCGCCAGGCAGTCTCTTCAGTGACAGAAAGGCGCACAGTATTTGACGGTTGAGATCATTTAGACGCGCGTCGGCGTACCTTCTCGGTCACGTGAATCAGTAACGCCAACCAGCCTGTGAAGCTTGTGAAGAACGAGTTGTACTGAGATAACGCTCGCCCTCCACTCCAGCTTGCGTTCGCAGGCTGAGACCACAACTACAGCATAGCTCGGCCCTCGAATAAGCGCAAATGAGTGGACACAGCGCATTGCCCTATGTATAGATCATCTGTAAAAGTACATTAATATAATGAAGTTGAGTGGGAGCAGAGACAGTGCGGGGGGCCAGTAATTCATGAGCGACAATGCTCTGGCCACGAGAAAATTGACCTAGGGCCACGGCTAATCCAGCGAGGTGCAAACGGTGGACAGCTTGCCAGCCACCTCGCTAAATTAGCCGACAAGGAATGCGCCGCGAGCGATCGGGTGAGACGTGAAGGAAGGCATGAACTTGGGACAAGTGAGGGATGGAGCGGTACAAAAATCGATGCTTCGACTCGACTTGAAGGAACAACACTGAGTAGTCACCGCAGATTCTTGGGAAAGTATTTGTCTCTAGACAGGATCCCCGAGTGTGTGCTGCACGTTATGCGCACTGCGCACAGACGGTCGGCAAGGTTTGTTGTCATCGAAACAAACTCACCAAGGTGACTGATCATAGCGGTGACTCTTGCATGTGGGTTTTGAATGATCCTCTCGTTCTTGGCATTGTATGCAGACAGACTGTGACTGCAAGAGGGTGAACAGTCAAGGGCAGATGAGGTAATTGTCGAATGCGGTGGTCTGCGCAAGGCCTGCGGCTGCGCCCGCTGGGGATGATTGACGGGCCGGTCCCGAAGTTACACAATTGGCTAGAGACGATCCCGATCTCGCATTGGATACTGAATGAAGTGTGAAGACCGGAGACGTGGCGAACACGGAGAACCTGACCCTTCGTAGAAGCCACCTAGAGCTTCGCCGCTGCTAGGCAGAGCAGGCTGTCGGAATGAGGAGACGACTTACGGATTTGGGGAGCCATGGAAGTGATAGAACCCGGCCGCGGAACCAAAGTACGGCAGCTACACCACTGCCGAGACACGGCTGTGCGGGAAGACGAGAGCAAAATAACAGCCGAGGTAAGATGTATGCGGCGTAGCTTTCGCGCATCGTCGCCGTTGTCGGTCCAGAATGTAGAGATAGTGATTGAGCAGAAATGCCACCAACTTGCTTGAGTGATGTTCTAGCAGCGGCGCAGACCCAATATCAAACCTTCACTCGCGCATCTTCACCGGAGATACCGGGTGGACAGCCATGGAGTGATAACTGGGTTTGGCTTACGCATTCAAGTTGAGGAGATCATCCCCTTTCAGGGAGACTAGTGCCGAGTCCCCAGAGTTGAAAGGACACGCCTATCTTTCCAGGAGCATCTCGCCACGGGCCAGACCGTCGGCTGCGAGCCGCATATTCCTTCCAACCTGCTCTGGTTCCACTCGGAAGGAGGTTCCATTGTTCAA